GAAAACTTGTATTTCAAATGTAGGTTTGGCAAGTTAGACTAAGGAACCAAAACAAAAGAAAAATATTGCCTCACCAGTGGCACTTTGTTCAGAAAATGCACACTTGTCAAGGGGGTCTACACAACCCGGGTGACTAAAGGCACTGGATGTTAACTCCTAACTGACGAAGGGTCCCATTTTCAAAGATATTTAAGTACCCAAAGGTAAGCTGGGTACCTGCTGAGCTGGCCAGAGCACCTAGGCTCATACAGCAGTGCCTGTGTACCCTCCCAGGTGCCCGCAGGAACTGTCAGCCTGATGAGGAGCCCATTACCTGCCATCTCCACTGAAACAAACAGGCGTGCAGGCCTTCCTGCCCCAGGCTTGCCTTATCATGGGGTCTCTCCTCAATCTATTCTTAATTTCTTTATCCCTTTTCAACTTTTTTTTAGTGTTTAGCTGAAGAATGCATCTGACAAAGCTCACAGCAGGGTGCATATGGTTCAGGAACAAGCTCCTCCCATGGGAAAGGACTATGCCAGAAAGAAGAGTTACACCTCCTCCGAAGAGGATCTGAAAACCAATTTTTTGTTCTTTTGAGCTACCTTACCAAGTGGGTCATGAGGGCTAGTGCCAGCTTGGCGGAGGCTGCAAGTGTGTGTCTGTGAGCAGAGAGCACAGTGAAAGGGACTGTCCCAGCTACAGCTATGGCAGACTTAAATCTGCTTAAAGCAATTACAAAACCACAGTGTCACCTGAAGGGAGCCATGTAAAATTCCAGTGGAAACTTCCCTTAATTTTATTTTTGAGTACAAGAACTGAGGGCATCAGATGAAGTCAGTAGAGGCCAGGTCTGACACAAGAGGAGAAGGTTTAGGTGAGCTGTGTAACGCCTTGCCACAGGATGCTGCAAAAGGTAAAAGCCTGTAAACGTTCAAGGGGTAACTGGAAAACTTTATGATAACAGAAATCCATTCAGGGTTACAAATACTTAGAAACTCCATCCAGATCTGGAAGCTCGTGAGCTGCAGCTAGCTGGAAGAGTGTTAGATAGCAGTATAATTCATGCTTGTGCGCTCTTATTTTCTGTAGGCATCCACTTACAGCCACAGTCAGATGCAGGATAGTGGGCTCGATGGACCTTTGGTGAGGCCCAGGACAGCTGCTCTCATGGTCTTTATTTTGAACTCACCCCTAATGTGAGCTGTCCCCTCTTTCCTGGTAGCTTATTATTAGAACTGGGTCACATGAAGCATTTGGGACTGTGTCTCGGTTGCATTGACCGACATTCCTTTCACGGTGAAAGCTCTGTGCTGGCAGGCACAGCAATATAGCTTACATGGGGAGGGGAGTAGTGGTTTTTTGCATAAGATTTGCTTAATGCAGACTTTTCATTTTTATGGCTGTTCCCCGTTCCATCAGGGATGTAGCCCTGAGCTGATCTGGGGAGGCGTCAAGACGCGTGCCATATTTAGAGACAGCCACCTGCTTGGGAACATCAAGCGGTAGCAAAGAGCATGCTTCAACAAAAAAACTCCCCTGTGGATTCTGCAGCAGCGGTATCCAGCTGGCTCTCCCCTGCCTAAATCTACGTGTGGCCACCAAAGGGGTCAGCATCTGAAGCCGGTCAGACCCCGTCAGCCCAGGAACGCTCTGAGCCTGGCACTCCCCCTGCCCAGGAACTGCCAGATATTTTGGACAGCTGCAAGGTGGAATTAAGTCACGTGGGTGAAGAGTGGCCTAATCTCTACATAGGCAATATGTAAGTGTTATTTGAGGCTGAGCTGTTCTGGAGGGCTGGGGAATACAGTACTTGCTAACATATGCTGTCCAACTACTTTATTTAGTTAGCGTTGTTAAACTTTGTTGCCTTAAAATAGACTTAAGATTAGCACAGAAGAAAGCAAAAGGACTGTCCGTTAAAGAAAGAACCTACAGAACAGAATAAAATTAATTAAAAAGAGAATAAGACTCTCTTTATTGCTTTGCATTATCTTATAATTATTCAACATATCGTTTTTATAAATGCTGCAACATTTACAGCACTAGACAGCACAAGACAGACTCATGATCCTGGGTAGCCTTAAAATTGAACTATGATTGGTTTTTACCTTTTTCAGTTTAATTTTAACTAGAATCGAAATGTTCACATAAAAAAGTATTCTAATTTTTGTTGTTTGTATGACAACTTGATTTGCAGTTGAAATTTCTGACAAGAAAAATATGGATATTCTGAATGCCAGCAGACTTCACTGTTTATTTTGGAAACTTATGCGGGTGGTTGTTTCACTCGAGCATGGAGAAAGCACACAGTCATCTGCACTCAACAGGCCTAGTGCCCAATATTATACCAAAACAAGTTCTTTCCACCACCAGCAGGTTGCAAACTTGTTGAAATATCTGGAAAGTACAATTACAATTATTCCTAAATGAGAGAAGCAGGAGGAACTAATGATCCTTTGGCTAATTCCCCATTGATTACAGCTAAAAGTGGACATTCTTTTAGCTATGAAAAAGGAAAACCTAAAAATTAGCTAGATGACATTGGGGAAATAAAACCAGATTGTGTAAACACAGATTACAAAT